GTTTGCAGTTCACGTTTGAACCGCAGGAAGGGCTTCCAGCGGTAAGTGATTTACGGCAAGGTTTTTTGCCACAAAAAATTGTACAGCCTCGCGTTTAAAGGTATGAACTAGCTTTTTGTATCCGTTTGCGATGTGTTTGTTGGATTTTTGATCTCGAATCAAAGAATTATTGCTGATTTTTGGGCGATTAAAGTGATGCACTTCGACTTGATGAAAGCAACATGGCGGCCCTAAACAATGAACGCGTAGCTCAAATCAATTTTATATTCCTTTCTGCCGTACTAACAAAGGAAAGTATTCTGTTCCAATCCAGACTGAAATTTTTTTTTCTATCTTGTTACTGAATTCATAACTTAACTCAGTCTCTGTTTGGTTGCTATTTTTGACTTATCACTCCGCGAATATCATTTTATTTTGTTTATTTCTTTAGACTGGGGAGCCCAGGCTTCATAAAGCCTTCTGGTTTCTTCTGGGCTCCCTTGCAACCTTACAATTCCTATATGTATTCTTGTCTTGTACTGTATTTTGGTAAATAAAAATGAACTGAACTGAACTGAAAGCCTGCTAAAGTTTGAAATCTCGGCAACGCGAAACTGCAAACGCGTAGCTGCGGTTTGCAGTTTGCGGTTTGCGGTTTACCTGATGCTAAAGGTCTCTAATAATAGCCTGTCACGACGCTGTATGTTCATGGTCATCTTAATTGGCCTGCATTTCTACATCTGGCAAATTGACGGTGAGGCTGAAAAAAAGAGGCCAATTTCAATACATCAAAAGCCATATACCTTGGCGAATAAAATAAAAGAAATGTATTATCCATTGTTGTGCCTCAAGTATGAATTTGAACAATAAATTGTTCTATAGTATTTAACATTTTCTTATATCCAAACCACTTTCAGTGAAAGAGGTCAAAAAGCTTTTAAAAAGGTTTCTATAAGAAAATCACAATCAATTGCAAAAGCGGTCAACTGGTAATGTTTGCTTCCCCTTTAAGGTTACGTTAACACGGTACCGGTCGAATTTTCAACCGGTTGAAAAATTTGACAGGACACTTCGTTCACACAGAACCGTTCTATATTTTTGCGCTGTTCACACAGAACTGTCGAGCTGTAATATTTCCAAGCAAAGTGAGTAATAACATGAATCGTAAATCCATGTTCGCAATATCTGGTTGCTATAAATCCACAAGTGCACCAGTAATATACACTCTGTGTAATATGTAGTATTGTGTCTTCTCACTGATAGTCAGTAGTAGTAAGTAGTAGTTACTTAAGTAGTTACCTGTAGTTACTAGTAGTTACTGGTAGTTGCTAGTAGTTACTAGTACTAGTTACTTGTAGTTACAAGTAGTTACTGGTTATGCTAGTGGTTACTGTTAGTTGCTAATAGTTACTTGTAGTTACTGGTAGTTACTAGTAGTTAAAGGTAGTTAGTAGTAGTTACTGGTGGTTGCTAGAATTAAAGTTACTGGTGGTTACTTGTAGTTACTAGTAGTTACTGGTAGTTACTAGTAGTTACTGGTAGTTACTAGTAGTTACTGGTAGTTGCTAGTGGTTACTGGTAGTTACTTGTAGTTACTAGTACTTAAGGGTAGTTACTAGTAGTTAAAGGTAGTTACTAGTAGTTACTTGTAGTTGCTAGTAGTTACTGGTAGTTGCTAGTAGTTAGTAATTACTTAAGCACATTGCAATCGAGGGAAGAGATTATTTGTAATCATGTCACAAACTGCAAGTTGCTTATTAGACGAAATTGCTTGAACAGTAGATCGAGGCCGGGCTTTTTTAATGATGGGTTCCAGGTTTCAGCAAAATATCCAGTCTGCAAGGAGAGGTTGACCATATTAGTAATGGCAGGAAGGAGTGAGTCTAAACATGAGGATGCAAGATTTGTTCTTTCCAGATGTAATCATATGACGAACTGTCTCAGTCAGGCTTGGCATTAGAAGTAGGAAAATACAATATCACCAGATTCAGATTCCAGGTTGGGCTCGGACGTTGACAGCAAGAATGCCGTTTAGCTTTGAACTGATATTGGTTACCTTGGCAATAAAAAACTGACCCATATTGTTTGCAAGAAGTAAAACAGAATGTGTAAAGGGATCGATCTTTCCTCATGTTCAATAAACTCTTACTTACCGCGAAAAGCCTCTTCTGGTCTGTGCTGTTATCTTCGATAAACTGATTAAAGTAAACACGGCGTGTCTCATTCATCAAATTTACCACACGATTTCTTTCCTTCTTAAAAGCAGCAAGATCAACAGATAATCTTGGAGCTCTCCCCGTCTTTTCAGCATTTAGTCTCAAGCGTTTGGCATTCCTAATATCTTCATTGAACCACGCAGCAAGAGGCCTGACATTAATGTCACGAGTTAAGACAAGTGCATACATCTCCAGTTGAGGTCGTAACGACTCATTATAACAGCTGAATAGAGAGTGTAAGTCGTTAGGTGGATCATGATTAAGCTGAGAAGAAGAAATGGCCTCAGGAAATTGGTTGGGGTCAGTTGATTTCATTTTCCTAAACTGCACATGCGTGACATTAGCTTGAGGTCTATTAGATCTTATTTGACTGAAGACTGGAAAATGGTCGGAGAATAACTCACCAATACAAGAGCAAGCAGCAATGATGTTATCAGATGAACGAGTGGTAATCAAGTCAAGTCTATGACCAAGTTCATGAGTAATAGACAAACATGCTGCTTGAGGCCAATCGACTCCAGTATATCCGACAGGTAGTAGGTTCCATACGGATATTAAAATCGCCCAAAATTATCAAGGGCTCACTTGACATGACCAGAGACTCGAGGTAATCGGTAAATGGCTCAGTGAAAAACGTGGATGTGGTCACAGCATGTTTAGCAGAATATAGAGGTCTGTAAACTATAATGAGTCGTAAACGAGAAATAGTTACCAGAAAACTTATTCCGTTTATGAGTTTATTAGGAAACTTATTCCGACCACGTTTATATATCAACAGCTCTTTACATTTACGATTGTTTGTGCCCTTCAGTGACCAGAGAAGCTCTTCCAAGAGTTCCCACAGGTTCTCCTACAGGAGTTCCCATAGTCTGGATAGTGTTGGGAGTTTCCGTGGCTCTTTCTGCTTTGGTGGTGGGGATAATTGCCTACCGTAAGAGAGCAAAAAGGAATGAACGGTATTTCATAAGATGTTATTGTCTTTATGACTGCTTTGTATTATGATAATGATATGCATGCGGAAAAAGACGATATTTTTTTCCTTGGAAGTGTCTGTTGGTCTTTAAGTGTCTCTCTCTCAGTCAAGTCGCGCTGGTGAGTGAACTTCCTTACAGACCAAGGCGATGTACTTTTATCACCTTGTATGAACCAGAAAGCCATCTCTGATTTAAGCATTACCACAAGCCCACGATTAATGACGACGAATTTCAAAAACATTAAAAGGAACACAGTCAGCTATGGGACCGTGCTGACGTGGACACTACTTTTGCCGGTTTGAAGAGTTTACCTCAACCCGAAATCAAATGTGCGCGTCGGCTACTTCTAGAAATCCGCTTCAATCTTGCCTAGTGTTTCATTCGATCCTCCATCTTTTACAGAAGACCTCTTTTTGAGAAAATTTAACCCATCCTATGACATCATTTCATCACATTTGGTTAAAAACAGTATCCAAAGGAACATGAACAGAGGAGGTGAGAAACACGTAGGTGTCGGGCGGGAGAAATCGATTTCGTTTACCAAAATAACAAAAGAAATGAATCAATAACATTGGCGAGCAAATAATCGTTATATGTATTTGGAAAATCGATGGAAAGAGTTGCATATGTTTGGAAAAATCACGCTTTCTCGATCTTGAAATGGTATCCAATACGCATGTGCATCAGCTGACTGTGTCCCTTTAATTTGCACTATTTTCTCTAGGCCAAGTGAGTCTGACATTGCTGAGTTTATGTTGCTGGAAGTCCCACACGAGCAGGTTACTATCATGGAGGAACTAAAACGAGGCGCGTTTGGAAGAGTTTATAAGAGCGTGATGAGGGCGGTACCTGAAAAGAATACTTTCTCCAAACCAAAGGATCACAGTTTGGATTCGCACGAGACACGTATTGTTGCTACAAAAGTTCTACCAGGTGTGTGAGTTCAGAATATGGCAAAAAGGTAACTTACTCTTTCAGCAAACGCTATTCACGGGAGTGATTCTTATTAATAACAGGCAAGAGAGGCTCTCTTGTAACAGTTTGAATTATTTAATCCAATAGATAGAAAACATTATATATATCGTGAAAAACAGCATCTCAATGCCCCAGTCGGTAACAGTGGGCGCTTTCAATTTAGTCAAAATTTCCGGAATTTCCGGTTCGGCGGTAAATGGAACACCTTTCGTCGGTTCGTCCCACTGGAAAATTCCCAGAAAAAGTGGAAAATCTAAAAAGGTGGGCCCGTTTTCCCGGTTGGAATTTCCGAACGGAATTTCGTCTTCCATTTAGACGTTTCTTGTAGTTTGTACCAGTTCCAGGTCCACGGCAAGAAAATCTGTCACGGCCAGTTAGCAAATTAAAATGGCTTCCCTCGATCTCATGTATCAATGCACGGTTTGGTTTTTTGCTGGCCCCACAATGGATGTACTTTTGAACCACGAGTGCCCTGCCCTTGGATTAATTGGTAAGTATCTAGTAATGAGTAAAAGCAATATTTATTCACAGGTTCATATTCACTGAAGAGGATCCCTGCAATTTTTCTGCTGACACGCTTTTCCCGCCATTTGCTCTCTTCAGACGCTTCTTCTTGAGATTTCAGTCGGTCGCCTTCACCCTATTCTGACAAACTAACAAACTAACAAACTTGGAAGATCGTGATGCATGTCAGGAACTTAATCACCTCTTGGGCCGTCGGGCACCGCGAAGTAACGGGGTTTACGACCAAATAGAACAACTTTTTACCAGTCGGAAATTCCACTTTTGCTCCCATCGAAATTTCCGGTATTTTTTCCTAAATGGAAAGCGCCAAGTGTGATGTACCTCAGGGGCCCATTTTTGATCTTAAATTTTGTTTTGTTTTGTTTTCTTATATTATATATTACTATTAATGACCTCCCTGAATGTTTGCAATTTACCACACGTTTTAAAACGTGTGCAAATTTGCAATGAATCAATTCAGTAATGTAGATATAAAAACCTTCAATGAGATCAGAACATTGATGAAGTGTGCTCCAAGGTTAGTCGTGTTGCAAGTGGTCTTAGATAGGCTCAAGATTATGTCACATTAAATGTACTAAAAAGAATGCAGCGCTTAAATCGATGCCAGTGGTCGAGCAAAACCGAGCGGGTTCCCTTTAAGAAAACCACACAGATATAAAAAATGCAAAACAGAGCAGGCTGCATGATCACTTCTCAGGGCTGTGACATGATAACAAATTATCTCTTTAAACCAATTCAAAATGTTAGTGCATTCCTTCGTAATGTGTAGATTGGTCGTTCTCTTATGTGATCTTTCGAAATACGTTATTCACATGTTTCAGTTACTTGAGAACTTTATTTGATCGTTTGTGATTGTAAATATGACCACATTACTGTACCTTTCCTTAGACAACTACATTGGCTTCCCTTGGAGCATGAGTAGCGGAATTTTAAACTATTTATGTCCGAGCTATAATCATCATTTGTTTCAATCTTACAAGCCTGTTGGGAGTTTACGATCATCAACCATGAAGTTGTTAATTAGTGACACCCAGATCAAGGTTAAAAGTTTACCGGGCGATCATGCTTTTTCGTTTTGTGTCCCTAAACTTTGGAATGATTCTCCAGAGCACATATAGTGTAAAATGGAGTTTGAATATTCGTCCCTCTAAGAACAATCTTAAAGCTCAAAAAAGTTCTAAGCGTTATTTTTTATTTCGTAGTTTTGTTTAACAATTTTTCTATTTTGCAATGTTACGAGTTACTGCTTTCTAGTCGTTTAAGTTGAAAACATTTATTGTAAAGCGCCTTACAGCTTGATGATGGTAATGAAGATGATAGTAACAGTGAGCCGAAAACTCTTGATGAAACCCAACTACAAAAGCATTGTGGGACGTCCCTGTCAATACAGATCGAGTCAGTGAAAGTGAGCTAATTGGATAGATGCGTAAGGATTACAAACGCACACTCAAGAAAAGTCATTTTCCTGGAGATGAAGTGCCCGTGGGTCCAGAATAGGGAAGCAATTAAAGAACACAACACATGGTGTCTATACTTAAAGAAACAAGTTTCCGGACTAAATGATCATCCAGTATTACATCATGTTACATGTCGTGCTTGGTGATGGCTAGATGAAGATAACAAACGGTTTTTCTTTGAGACTTTGTTTTGTCTACGTCACTTAACTTTGGGGACCAATTTTTAAACAAATAGATTTTTTTTCGCAAGCAGAAATTAGGACCGGAGCTATTGACCGTGTTTTATGTTAAATATACTTTCGTTGTAATTAGTTTTTTTTCTTTACATCTGGTTTCAGTTGTTTAGTATTAACTGATATTGTGTAGCATTTACGTAGGTCACGGTTACTGGATTTTTTACAATGTCTTTCTTTTTCTTCAGAAAATGCCACCGAGAAGGACAAACTGCAGTTACTTCAGGAAATTGAGCTGATGAAGGAAGTCGGAACACACCGTAATATTGTGAGCATGCTCGGCTACTGGATCCAATCACGTCCCATTATGTTAATCATGGAATATGTTCCAAACGGAGATCTTGAGTGGCTCAGAAACAAAAGGCAACAGGTATCATTACTTTATAATCTGTACCAAATAAAATTTGCTGCCCTCTTTTTTGCCTTTTGTTTAAAAAATATTTTCTCTCCATTCGCCTTAGCGCTGCGCACAGGTATTATTTATAGAACTCAAACTCAGACAAACAAATTCCTCAATTTTGTTTGTCTTTTTGTCATTAAAATGTCAAGTTTGTCTGACTTTTGTCATGAAAATAACAAAAATGCCAGATATCAGACAAACATTGCAAATTAGTCACTCCGACGTCATTTTCCTTTTTTTGGTCCTTAACAGGATATTGGTTTTCGCTTTTCTCAACTATTCGAAATTTTTAAAAGTAACACGAAGGGAATTAACCTTTTCTGGTCGGAATGAATCACGGGATTACCAATGGTGGAGCTACGCTATTGTTTGAACATGGTAACTAGACAACAATAGTTTACTTCAGCAAACGCTTTTCATTCTGGTAATTTACTTATTTTTTCTCATTTTGCCATGTATTCACCGTAGCTGAGCTCCGCCATTTGATAAACCGTTCTTAATTCGAGCTAACAAAGGGCTTCCACTCAAAATGCCCGTCAGCTTTTCGATCCACGGCCTTTCAATGGTGGCAAGATGAGTTATTCAAATCAACCGATAACACCAGAGTTTTGCTTTTTACCCTCCGCCCGACGTAGTAGAAAAGTGTCTTTTTAAAAAACCCTTCAAAATATTTTGGTGGAGATAATGATTGTCCGTCCCGGGAGCCCTGTACGAGATATGACGTCACAAGTGACATTAGGTCAAACCAAATATCAAGAAGCACTGCACGTCGCGTTTTTGGGACTGTGTATCTTAAAATGTCATAGAAAATTGTAACAAAGCAGAAGAAAAGAAAGAAAAGCTTTGTTCTATTGTAGTATAATCCATTTGAATTTTCCATGGACGATTTGAGAAAGTTGGCCCATAAGGTATTCCCGGCTAGATTTTCAGTTTAACGTCGGTTAAGTAATCTTTCAATTCACATGGATTCCTTTTCAATGGGTAAAAATATTTCGGCGAACCAACTGATAGTGTAGAAATTGTTTCTGCTGACAAAAACGTTTCATGATCGGACGGAATTCATTTCAATATTTTTTTGCAGCTTACAATGAAAAAGAGTTGTCAAAGTGATGTTGTTGAAAGGCTTAAACCTCCTGTTTCTGGGAGGCCGAAATTGGTGTCCAGAAACCTGAAAACAAAAGATGTCCTGGATGAAAACCTGAAAGAGGAGAACGGGGAAAGAAATAATGAAGAAAGTGGAAAAGACGGTGGTCATCATTGCAGCGAGACGAAGGAAATTAAAATCGACCTGGAAGACGATGAAAGAGGAGTTGTAATCAACGATGCGCCTCAAACTGAGATGGAACCTCCTTGCTCAAACCTGGAAGACGAAGATGACAAGGAAGAAGAAGAAAGTGACGATGTCAACACGCCATTTCTACAAAATGAAGGACAAAAGGGGTCGGCTATGTCGGTGATGGCGTTACCTTCGATCAATATTGCCCATTTATCCAAAGAAAAAGAGCTCACTCCTGCTGAGGCTTTGAGAAACGTCGAAGAAAAGATCACCATCGAGAAAGAAGAAGGCAGCTGTGAAGGCACGGAAGATGATGAAGAAGACATTTCTGGGAAAGACGTCTTATGTTATGCGTGGCAGATTGCTAAAGGGATGGTAAGAACTTTTTCGACTGAAGAATGCTTTGAGCAATTTAGTCATCGTTTGCAAATCAGAAGAATCTGCCTCTTCCCCGTATTAATACTTTAATACAAGTTTTTCTGTGTCTGCAAGTATATGCTATCCGGTCATGAGACGGCAGATTTTTCAAGCATTCAAATTTCTGCGTTAATTATAACAGACCATAATAGCGCTAACTACTTCTTGCTTACAACACATCTAAAATTGAGCCGTTAGTAGTACATATGGCTAGACTAGGGAGTAACCAATCAGAGCGCGAGAAAGACAATAGGGGTATTGTTTTAGAGGGTCACGTGTCTCATTTGCATTGGAACGTCATCACTTGTGTTCACGTGACCCATGTCGACCAATCAGAAAGCAGCAAACGATTGGCCTGTTTGAACCCCAAACCCTTCGCAGTCGAGGTGACAGAGTTAGTTTGTGCGTTCGTGAACCTCAAACTGCGCCCCAGTCCCCTCGCATGGGTGGCCATAGATTCGAAACAACAGGGTGTTGGATAGATCCTCGAACGGAGGCGGCTACCCCCCAAAGTGTTCCCAGATCCCTCGCATGAGGAGGGAGGAGGGATCACGTCACCGGAAGTGACATGGCGGTGAAACCGGAAGTCAATAAAAACACACTGTATTGAGTCCAAAAATCATATTTTTGGATTTAATAGAATCTCGAGAAGGTCCTG